CGGTAAAAATCAAGTTTGAGATCATTTTCATTAAAACATCTAATTGCCGGATTGCCAGTGTCCTACCCATAATTATTTTTTTTTGGACAAATAAAAATCTTTAAAGCCATTTTTTCTAAGTTTCACAGTCTAGCGAGTTTCACACTGAAATTCAAGTCAAAGGCTGGAGTAGTGAAAATGTTTTTGTAGACTGTAATTACATGTAATCTGATTGAAATGCTGCCATCTGTTGGACACAAGGCTTTATAATCCCGATTATATATATATATATATATATATATATATTATTTATAAGCTATTTTATAAGATATTTGGTAAAGAGTGTTTTCACTTATAACTTCTGGCATGCCAATGAAAACATGTTTTAATATAACAAAAAGAAAGTTTTCCCAGTTGTTCCCAAACAAGATTTTCTTTCAGTCCGATCGAAATTCAGATTTTCTCAGAAAACGTCACTAACACCTTATGTGTACCAGTAGCCCATTTTATGAGAGGTTAAAAGAGCAGCCTTGTGCTGAGCAATGACTTGTTTAGCATATGAAGAGGACATGAGATTCGCACAGTGCAACTAACAACCATGAAGTCTGCAGAGCCACACATTATATTCTTTTAAGATTTTCCCTTTCTGTTCCAATCGGCACTCAATAGTGGGCTTTAGTATTTCAAAGTGATAGACAAAATGCTGCTTCCCTGCTGTATTTTCAAACCACTAAAGCAGTCTATGCCATGCAGTGTTTTGGGGTAATATTAACAGAGACTGAAATAGTGATGAAGGAAATGCTTTCTGCAGATAGGACAGGCTGGTAGAATTGTAAAAGCTGCAGATGCTGTAATTACATATTTGCATAGAATGAGAGGATTTTTTTGTGGTCTTTTTCACTTTGCTTAAGCTTAGTGTCATTAAGTATTTAGATTGTAAAATAAAAACAGCCCCCTGATCATCTCTCACATTTTTTTTTTTTTGTATTATAAACAAAACATATTCCTGTTCCAGACCTTTCTATTTCAAGCACCCTTTTTATACAATGTTTTGATTGTATCCCATGTTGTGAGATATATAAAAAGAAAAGCCTAGCAGTGGGTGGGGTTAAGAGGAGCTGAGTTTTGTCTTTAACAACAGAACAAAATCATTAACTGGGCTGGAGCATAAAAAAGCAGAGGACGTGTAAGAAATATGTTTATATTCTAAGCCAATCATACAAAAACATCTGCTAAGAACATTAACAGGCCTATAATAGGCTAACTGAGCTGAAGATGATGCCTGTCAGGAACATAAAGATATTGAAAAAAACACAAGGCACATCTCTTCACAGCCTAATAATACAATGACATTAATGAGTAGTTTAGAGTCCTTATTAATATTAAAATGTGATGGCAGTGTCTCAACCAGCATATCTATTTCACCTACATAAGCACTTATTGTTCTTCACCCATGTGACTGTCGTGCTGTAGTGCGCATGCTCCGTGAGTGCTGAATGCATAAAGGAAATATCTGGCCAGCAGAATATTTATTATTGCCGTTCGCTCTCTCAGAGCTGCTTTTGTGACGCCCAGTCATCAACTTTAGAGTGTGTAGACAAAAAATTGGCCCAATCTTACCATTGCTAGCTGTGGGTCACGTGAGCTGACAGCAAGGACCCATCTAAGTTCTACAGTGCGCATGCGCAGTCTGTATAGCGCGATTGATGGTCCATCGGCTTGTGTGTGTGTCTGAGCTCCCGGGAACCCGATCAGCTGCACTTCTCTGTGTGCGTTAGTGCAGCTGCAAGTTTTACAGTACGATCGCCGAGGTCGAGGGATATTATTGAAGCTCGTCGTTATAAATATGTCTACAAACAAAGTGAAGAAAGTGAAAATGGCCACCAAATCATGCCCGGAGTGTGACCAACAGGTGAGGTGTTGTTTGATAATGAATGATACATATTTGTGTTTTTATTTTTTATATTTTTTGTCTGAAGTTTTGAATCGCCGGATTGTTATCTTAAGTATGGTGTGTGCTTCAATAAGGTAAAGATATTTATTAGATCTGTGTGAGTTACAAACAACGTTGCTACGTGATGTGAAATATGGATTCCACATTTTTGTCGATTCTAGTGAAGTGATATTGCTGATATTATGTACCTTATCACATAATAAGCCGCCAAATTTTGTTTTCATTTTAGTTTGGCAATGGAAGTGTGTAAGGCTGTAAAGGGATATCCAGCTTACTGCATTGAAACAATTAAATTTCAATGGTTTCATGCAGTCTCTTTAAATATCACGAAAAAAGTGATCTCTGCGATTACAGTGCTTTTAAATGTGCATGAGCTTATCTAAAGGTTCCAGCCTCTTCTAATAATGATAAAATGATATATTACTGCTGGTTTTGACGTATAAACGATGAATTTTCATTGTTTATTTTGCCCTTGAACAAACAGACCTCGCGTCATTGCAGATCATGTCATAAGACTGTATTTTGTGTCGTTGTACCGTGTTTTGGCACATCAGGGTATTGTTTCCTGTTTACTATAGTCAGTGTCCCAGTAAGACGCATCATATTTGTTTTACTCCTCCGTAAATGTGTCATATTGATTCCTCCAGTGTTGTGAAATATTTAGTCAGTCATTGTACGTGAATTTCAGTGTGTAGTGAAGTTCACTGAGCTCTTTCTGTTTCTCTCAGATTCCTGTGGCTTGTAAATCCTGTTCTTGTGGCTACGTCTTCATAAGCCGAAAGCTTCTCAATGCCAAATTAAATGAGAGGTCTCCAGTAATGGGTAAATTGTGCATCATTTATGTGTTTTATGCAAATTAAGCCCCCATATATCCACTCCTATATTATGTTATGCTAAATTATGTACTGTTAAATTATTTATCAAGTGGCCTTTAACAAGATTCAATGTGACTATTGATCTGGAAAGTGACTGCTGCTGAATTGATGTTTAAAATTAATTACAATGGAACCTAATTTCAGATCTTGATCAGCAAACTTTTCTGTCCCACTGAAAATTAACACTTGCTCATTTCATCCCTTTAATATCTACCCATAATGAGTCAGTCATAGTTAGTCCGTGTTTTCTGGCTATACTCATGAGGCATGAGTCATGTTGAAAAAAACTGTTATTTTTGATATACTATCGGTATGTGTTGGACTCTTTGGGCTAATGAATGGAAATAAATAGCAGGCAAGTTTCCAGTCAGCAGGATGCATTGAGAATACTGAGATGAGTGGCGCAGTGATGGCTGTTTGCTTGTGTGAGTAGTGCTAAGAGAGATGGGGGAAGGGCAAACTAATTTCTGTCTGAAAAGCTTGTTCCTGCCGCCTAGCTCTATCCCCCCCCCCCGCGCTCTATCCCCCCCCCGCGCCAGTGTTGTATCAAGAAACTAGTCACAGTATTTGAATTGACTCATTTTTATGATACATCAAGTCATTTATAAAATCTCACAAAGATTACATTATACAAAATAAATTTGTCAAAGTTGAACTGGAAGTTTGTTGTATTTTAATGGGAGGGATTTTTGCAAAGTGATGTCACAAAATGACGTATGTACAAAATTAAAAAAGTGTTATCTAAGTAATAAGAGGCCAGCTTGGGTTGTCATGATCTTGTTAAAATGTGACAACTATGTGGCTTATAGTTACACAGCTTGGGCATATGAGCACATTTCAGTGTGCAGTTTTTTCACAACTAATTGGTGAACTTGTGGTTTAAAATGAATGTTTTTTTACATTCATTTGATTTTTTGCTATTTGGAATTAATATTTAAGCACTAATGTCAGGTTTTAGGTCAGTTATTAGTATTGTATTGTATAACCTAGAAAACAACCTCTCATTGTGTGCATAATAAATGGGCAGATAGTCTCAAGCAGGCTGAAGTTTTATGATTTTTATTTTTCACAGCTCAGCTGGCATGTGCATTGCGTTTTTGTTGTGGCGCAGACTCAGTCTGTGATTGTTACATTGAGTTATGACTGGAATGCTCTGCACAAATGTTCTTTGTTTGAATGTTTTTCAGTGGTGTAATGTGTACATTGATTTCCCCACTTCTCCACTTTCTTACATTTTTTGTTCAAATAATAGTGAGCTTTCTACAAGTCACGTAAGGAATTCGTTTGTTAATATGTGAAGGGTGTGAGATCCCACTTCAGTTATATGAAGGGTGTAGCCAAGAAACATTTGGCAGTAGCAATAGCAGTAGTATTCGTTCAGGGCTTACCTTCACTCCGCTAAGAATAATGTGCTCAATTTGAAATAGGACAGACTTTATTTAGATTGGCCTGGCTGCCCTTGCTTTGTTTGCTTCTTGGAAAGAGAATTTTAATTCAGATAAAATATTAAATGAAAGCCTAAATAAGACATTAATTTATAAAATGGTGTCTGTTCTCAACATGATACAAGGCAAATATGACAAGAATATTTGATCTCATTTACAGCCAAGCTTTCCAGATGTTTTACAGTAATTTTCACACATGATGCAACCCAGTCTTCATGATTGTGTCCTAGTTGTGAAGGAGTTACACAGTGTTAATTAGCTGTAGAACAGAGCTCCTCTTGTTAGTGCAGGTTATTGACAGGGTCTGGATTCCTGAGTTAACATGCAGTCGTACAGCAGGCCTGTAAATGGAGTGAGCAGAAAAAGATCTTATCACAGCGTTTAGAATCAAATGGCTGCCATGGAAATACTTGATTATATAAATATTTAAAATATCTGGGGAAAGAATGTGTTGCCATTAGAGATTCACAGAATTGAGTTACACCAAGATTATTAAATCATCAATCATTCAAGTGCTTGATTATTGTAAATAGGGCTGGACAATAATTCAATATCATTATGTATCGCGATATAATTTTTTTCAATAACGGTGATACATTTCCGATATTTCAATATACATTACCAGTGTTTCCCATACATTGATTTATTTGTGGCGTTTGACTTCGTTGAATAAACATGAGCACTGCACGTTTCAAAATCAAAACACGTCGCGGGTGTTTTATATGAATTTATATCTGAAGAGAAAGGACTGTCTTCAGAAAAGTTTCGATGGCATTTTCATTTGATCTGATAAAGAAGCATTCATGAGCGGAGCTGCTTTGATTACAGCCGTTACCGGAGAAACCGTTAGTTTTATCACTCTAAAAGCGCCTGCTGCTGGCAGACAATCAGTTTGCGTTTTCAATAAGCCCGTCTCCAGCAACATTTCCAGTTTTTGTTGTTTTCCAATATTTCAGATAAATAGTGTTCATATTGATATTGGAATTATATCGTATCGACTGAAATTAAGAAATATATCGTGATATCAATTTTGGCCATATCGTCCAGCCCTAATTGTAAATATATGTGATTTAAATGAATTTTTGGAAAGTTGACATGCCTATCTAAAAATATTTTAAACAGCATGTTTCTATTATTATTTTTTTAATTATTATAAATGTAAATGTAATTAGCTCATATTAATTGAGAGGCTACATGGAGTACATGTATTAAAATGAATTTGTCACACCAAAATAAATGAGTGAACGATGAAAAAAACAAAAGAAACATATGTAATAAACAATCAACATAAAATGCTGGAAAAAGTCACAGTACCTAATATATACAATTTACTTTACACGTTCATATACATTTAGAGCAAAGATATTTGATAATTAAAAAAAAAAAAAACTATAATTTCTTTTTACATTTGAGATCTTGGACAGATTATGTATGCATATCTGTTTCTTTTTCTCTTTAAAAAGCTTTCAATTTATTATTATTATTCTGGTCTAGTCACTCATATGATCTCTCTTCTGAGTCTGTTACTAATGACGTTTACTCAAAGCCTGAAGAGTCCTATAAATAAACTCCCTCAGAGAGACGCAGGCCTACTTCCTTCAGTAACAAGCTCTTAATTCTCTGATTGTAGCTCTGCATATGACTCTGCTTTTTTACATCATTTGCTGATTTGCATGTGGACTCACAAGACCCTCTTTAGGCTTTTTAGTCTGTCAATAATGGTTGGGGGATGGGTCTAAAGATCATGTGAGGAAAAAGAGGGCTGCTGTTTGTGTTAAAACTGTTTATGAGATGGTGTGGCTAGTTTGTATATCTAGAATATGAGTGTATCAACAGCAGATACTGTGTAATTTAACCTTTTGATTGTGTTTCAGACAAATTGGATGCAACGAGAAGACGAACAGAGAGAATCAGAAAAGAGAAGATAAACTTAACATCAACCAGTGATATGGAAAATAGGAGGCGACCCCGTTCCAGCAGTCAGTCAGATCCGATCCGCAGAGGAAGAGGCAGACCCAAAACTGTTGGGCTGAAGAAGCAGGAGGAAGAAAAAGGTAATGTGCTGCTCCCACGTGTCTGGGGGAAGAGTAATCATTATAGATTTATGGTCACTATAAACATTAAGAAATGTAGACATCCAGGCTGATTTTATTGCTGTTATTTTTTCATTTGCATTTACAATAATGTCAATTGAATTGTCTCCAATAATAATAATACACTTTATTTTATAAACTTTTCTTGGAATATATGTTGGAATATGTTCTTAGAATGTATATGCTCAGATAGTGAAACCAACCAATTTCTTTAAAAATTAGAATATGAATATAAACAAATGTTTCGTTAAGCTGACAAAAAGGGTTGTTGCTTTGAAAAGTGCTTTTGTTTGCTCAATGAAAGCATTCTGAGTGAGTGCGCTTTGAAGGGTTCTTGTGAATAAGGTTTCTTTTCTGCTTTTGCGAACACCTTTTTTCACTATAGACGTGACATTTATTTTTAATGCTTTATTTGTATAGCTTAAATGCCTGTTGGGTCAAACAGCAAATGAGCACAAACTTAAAGAGGAACATTTAGGAGCATTTCAAATGTCTTAAGCGTTAAGAAATATTTTCGAGAAGTTGCTGTAATATTGGGCTAGGAAATGAAAGATTTTGACGTATGTTCTCACGTCTGGAGCATCTGGCCAAGAGGAGGTATAAAACAATACTGGCAGCATGGTGTTTGATTGTGTCTTGGAGTCCAGATACAGTAAACTTAGCCAAGCCGCTACTAAGACCTACCTACCACTCCTATCCTCAAACTGACCTTCACTCCCATCATGCCCCTCTCTGATTTCACACTCCCCCTAGAGATTTCTGTTGATTTAAATTTGCATTTAGAATAAAAGCCTCTCTTTGGTGTGTCACCACTGATCCTACTCCTGGCCACACCTAGCTGTAAACCAAATAGTGTCTCCTATTAAATAAAACTCTCTGTTGAGCAACTCTAGTATGTTTTAGATAAAGCTTTTTTTTTCTTCTGCATGGACACTAGGACAAAATAAATCTTCAGTATTCAGCAGCCATCAGGGTGGCATGTGGTTCATTGTACTGTTTCCAAGTGTACCGCTTTCATATTGTGGATTAATGATTTACGCACATGGTTCTTTCTTTACTCTCTGCTGAATAAATCATTGCCGGGTTGGAAGCTTCTATGCATTATCAGCTCTTCCATGGAGGAGCGACGATTTTCATTTCACTGCAGATCTGCTGTGCCTTTTACTTTAAACAAAGAGTTTCAATTAAATGACATTAGTCTAAAGTTCTGTCCTTTTGGTAGTTGAATTATTCTTTGTATCCTATAATAAATTGGGACATTTACCTTTTGATAACAATCCAGTCATGGTTGTTTTATTAATTTTATTTTATTTTCTTTCACAGAAAAACAGGAAAAGGAGGTTGATATTTATGCCAACCTCTCCGATGAGAAGGCTTTTGTGTTCTCGGTGGCTTTGGCTGAGATTAACCGCAAAATTCTGGGCCAGAGACTCATCCTGTAGCAGGCGTTGGAAACAGTTGCAGCTAAAACTCAGGACTCTTACTACATGGCTGTGTGGGTGTCCCATATGTCTGTGGAAAAGCGGGTGGGAAACTCCGACCCGGAAAGGCTTAAACCCCTGCCTGTGTGGCCGAAGCTCACTGGTGCTACCGTGAATTGGTGGGATTTCAGACGCCCGGTTTGTGTATGAGGAGAAATGACTGTTATCCTTCACATGAGTGAGAAGTGTAGTAATCATTAGTGGTGTAGAATGGTATCTATTTTAATGACAATTTTATGGAATGTACTAAATGTTTCTACCAATCATTTCTTAAAATTTCAAGCTGTTTATTGGGGGACAGTGGGTTCACCAAAGCAATTTATGTGCAAATTATGACTGGTGCCATTATTCAGACTTGTGTAAGTGGATCTACTCCACTGTTTGTTTATTTAGGTGCCAGTGAGCCATATTATTTCAAAATTAACCTTGTGGGAGCTGAGCCCAAGGAAATGCCGGATTAATGGTTATTTATTATGCCTCAACCACCTTAATTTAAGTGTGTATTTTATTTTTCCCATTTGGTATTGTTTTACGAATGGTAACAGCATACATGTGTAAAATTCATCCTGTATAAATATATTAAATTCAATTGCATTTAAACTCGTAGTTTTATTTTTAGGGGAAGTTAATTGCAACCATTCCTTCTCATATGTCATCGGCCCTTTTTTTAAGATGGATTTGGAGCAAGAAAAATGCCTATGGCAACTCTCGTAGAGAGAGCTCATATTTCAGCTGTCTTCTGAAGCTCTACTCAAAACCGAACCATTTTGTTTTAGTTCTTCACAGGCAATATTTCACCCTGAGCAAGGAACCAGACTCAAATGTGATGAATAAAATGCATGAGGATTGTTCTGATTTTAAATGAAAATGTAATATTTGGTATTTATATAACATTATCATTTACAAAAAGCCCAGACCATGTTGAACATGTTGTATTTATTTATTTCCACCTCATTTTGGATTGTGTTAGCTTCCCTAGGAGAGCAGCTGCCGCAGCCAGTCGTTTTTCCAAAGCTTCATCACCAAGCAACAAGCTTACCTCAGAGAAACCAGTGTGCTGTAGTTTCCAAAGAGATGACGGATCACCGGCTCTATATTCCCTTTTAAATTTGTCACTGACTTGCCCCCAGCAACCTTTGTGATTCTTAAAAGGCATATTAATGAAGCATTTATAATGTAAAACATGCCTACTTAATAGTACACAGTATGTCTTTTTAATCAATATATTCTACCTTCCTTTAGCCATTAGTGTGCAGAACAGGTCAAATATTTTTATGCTGCTTCAGCTCTTTACATGCAATATTTCACAGTCAACATATGACTTGTAAATAGATGCCATGTCCTTTGTAAAAGGTTGCAAGGTGTGAAGCATTCTTAGTAAATGGAAATCATGTCCAGATGTTGCTGAATTAATTTCACAATGGGTTACAAGGCTTTTACATTAATTTATATGTTCACATTAACAAACACTGAAGCTGTGACTAAAGGGTCGGTTTAGTCTCCCCTGTTGAACAAGAAAAACAAGGTTGCAGAGCTGTTACTTAGTGTGCATTCTGTTATGATAGGTCTCATTTCAAATAAAAAGGGAGGAAGGGGGTCAAAATTGATAGAGAAACCAAGGCAAAGGGGCCAAAGCAATTGTTCATGGGAGTTTGGAAAAAAAAAAAATAAAATAGAGCCTGAAAAATTATGACCTGTACAATAAAATGTGTTTATCAGTGATTAAACGAGGTGTAACAATAAAACTGCAAATACTGAGCAGAAACTCTGCAACTGTATGGCCAATAAGGTGAGACAGGTGAAGAGATAAACGTTGCATTTATCTTCATTTGCATTTGCTTGCCACCTTCAGTCAAGAACAGTGTGACAGCTGTTAACAGCTTTTGATCTCTGGGAGCTAGGCTTATACAAAACCCAACATGATTCATTCACTTCATTTAACATAAGTTTGTGGATTTTTGCTTGTGGCAATGTTTTCCCGTGTGATTATTAAAAAGTTGAAACTGTTATCATATCTGCTTTCGTGGGTTTCAGTGACATGACGATGTAATGAGTCACTGGACAGTTGGTGTTTTTAGTCTGAATGGTTTTAAGGTCAACGGCAGATGGCGTGTCTTTCTGTGGTGGAGGTGATGAGGGTCTGATCTTGTTTGGCACTTGCTTGAAGCTCCCAATGGACATCCTCAGTGTGAATCACAATCTCTGGCATTTTGCCTGGAGGTTAGGAATAAAACTGATTCATTAGGTTACATGAAATGGAGAAGTTTAATAATACCATCCCCTTTAAAGAAAATGAATATTTGTGTGCTTAGAAATGTACAGATGAGACATTTCCTCACAATAGTGTTGTCACGGTACCAAAATTTCAGTATTCGGTACCAATACCAGTGAAAATCCACGGTTCTCGGTACCAATTTCGGTACCAAAGCAAAACACAAAAACATGCTAATTGAACAACATTTTTATTAATAACGTTAAACAAAAATTAAATGTACAAAACCAATGCCATTCTTTATACTTATTTAAAAGTGTTTCAAGTTTTTCCACAGGTAATAAAAGTATGAAAAAAGTAAACAAGTTTCACCCAAAAGTTTAGTCAAAGTTCTGCTGCCACTGAAAAACATCTGTAAACTGTTGTCTGTTTTAGGGTTTGCTGGTGTTTCAGGATCTTCCTCAGTCTGCAGCTGTAAAAGGAAAATATAATATACTATTTTTTTAGTACCGACTTGGTACCGAAATACCGGGTCTTTTGACAACACTACCTCACAATATTTCTTTAGATGTAGTCTTTGTCTCTGCTGTGTTTGTCTTTACTAGTTCTTATATAGTTTTGTACAACTGCATTATTAAGCAGGGCTCAGGCCTTAGATCCTAATGTACAAAGCTTGATGAAAAGAGAACCAGACATAACAAAAATCTGCTGTATTTGTGAATGGTACTGTCAAGCTTAAAGCCTAAGAATTTGTTATACTTTTCCTACATAAAACCTTTTCATAAAAGGTTCTTAATGTTCTTGTTTAATGTGGAAAATCAAGGCCTTTTGATAAACATTAGTCTCTGACAAACAACATGCAGGATTCAAACACAAAAGCCTACAAAAGACACCCATTATCAATAGACATGAAAGAAAATGAACTGGAGTACATATCTTCTGCTACTTTAAAATGTTGTTGAGATGGCACCCTCTTTCTGGAACCACTTTGTTCAGATGCTTCGTGAGCCTTGAAAAACAATTTGGGTTGTTGATGGAAACTCAGTGAATCACGGGCTCTGGTTTCTTGCCTAAGGGTGTGGAATAAAACAGATCCCTGCCTTTTTGTATAATTCCTATCAGACAGCTCAGTGTCTGATTTCTGGCGTTTAGTTGGCTTGGTCTTATTCTCAGTTAGTCCCTAAGTGACAGTCTCTTTATAAACCACTAGATGGCAGCCAAACCATAATCCTCCACTATTAATAGTAAATTTCATACAACATCTACAGAAACAGTTCTCAAGCAGATTGAGGAAGACTTTTTTTTTTT